ACCTTTTCCTCTCAGCTGAGAACAGTGGGGAAGGAATATTTTAGGGCGTAAATATCAAGGAGTGGAAGTGCCAGGTCATATGGTTATTCTATGTTTAACTATTTTAAACAAACTTCAAATTCAGGTTGAAATTTACTCCACGAAATTGAGTTTCAGCACCAAAAATAACAGCCATATTTTCTGTACTATTGGTAGAAAATCCCCAAAACAATTGCTTTGGTAGGTTTTCCAGGTTTTGCTTGTAAAGCAAGATGAGACAGTAGATATAGTTATGGAGAGAGAAGAAAATAGACAAATCGGTTGCTGGTATCCATGACCTCTGACTCTGTCTTACCCTGAAACAGAGCTGTTCAGCATCCCCGCGACAAGCTTATGAAGACATAGCCTCAGAACAGGAGTGTGAATAGCAAAAAGCAGACAAAATTTTCTGCAGTAACGCCTCAGTGCTTCCTCAAGGGCCCCTTCTAATCATTACATTTCCTCTGTATGAGCCATCCTTCTTTGTCTCTTTGTATGCCCTCCAACTTCTTGCAGAAGACTGAGTATTTGGAATAGGATGATGTGCCAATTGTGGATGTCAGGTTCTCCCCATCCCCAGCGTTTCTTGTTTCTGCTTATTACAATAGTCCTTGTTAGTTTCTTTAGTGAATTTTCGGATCTACTCCTGTGAGTTCTGTATTCTGTCACGTGTAGCCCCTGAAGTCTTTGTCCCATTAGCCCAAGGGTCAGTTAGGGTTTCTGAGTTTACCGGGTCTTCAGATGTCCTCCTTTTGAAAGAGGGTGAGTGAATTCTCTATGTGAGAGGGAGAGCAATCATATCCTTTGGTGAAAAGAGAGTGTGGTGGCCAGCATCCACATCTGCTTTCACTCTGGCACACAGAAGACTATGTTTCCTTGACCTCTTGGTTTTGGAAAGGATGTGTGGCACCTTCCGACCAATGGCATCAGTTTTAAGCCAAAGAATAAAAGAGGAGGTGTAAGACCCTAGGTGCTCTTTCTGTCCTTTGGTGGCAACTGAAGAAGGCATCAGTTTCAGTTGGTGTACCAACAAGATCGTGGGGCCTCCATCAGCCTTGCCCCACGTGACTTAGGAAACAGGGGTCCCTTCACCTCAACTGTCAATGTATGATGGAAATCTGAGGAGAAATACATCTTTAGTCATGAATTTCTCAATTGTTCCATTTATTACCAGAGCATTACCTAAGTTATCCTGGAGATTACAATGACCTACACTCTCAGATTGTCTAACAGATAATTCTTCCAGAATAACATTTGCCGAATCTCATGCTGCTGTGTTCAGCATTATTGTCTCCTGATTGCTGCTTGTCACAGATGGGGCCCTGGAAAGAGACTGTGAGGGAGAGGATTCCATGTGGAAGGTATAGGGAAGGGTTGTGGGGAGATACCCCTATGGGAATTTAGCAAGGCGGGGCTAGTTGAAGGAGAAGCTGAAGCACAAGACAGTTGCCACTGAGTCTCTGCCAACCCTCAAGGATCTCTGGAGCTTGGACTGCCCTTTGGTGTTGTCCCAAATTGAGAGCAGGCTTCTTATTCCCGTATTGGCCAGACATGGGCCTCTGGCTGTCCCTTGAGAGGGCTGTGTCCTAAGTTTAGGTGGTTCCCTATGCTGTGGGCATGTCCTGTGAGGGAAAGAGCTATCAGCTGTCCTCAGTCAATGTTCCCAGGAGCAGTGCGGTGGATGCATTGGCCTTGAGCATGACCCTGGGCTGAGTCTCAGTGTTTCCATGGCACTTCTCCTTCACCATCATCTTCCTTCGCAACCCACTTAATAATCTCACACACTGAGAAGTCCTTGGGATGACATACATAGAGCTTCTGCCTTTCCGTATGATTGGATGAGAGAACTCATTGGTGAAGGCCAGAATCTCTCTTTCCAGAATCCAGACCCCTTACCAAGGGGCTTTGGTAGATCTCCAGAAGTGTTCCAACCTTAGCTGCAAATGCTGGACTTGTTCCTAAAACAGTGGCCACAGATTTGCTCTAGTCTGGTGGTTGTAGTTAGAGAGAGTTCAATTCCCTAAGGAGAGTCAGAGTGGTCTCCAAGGTCTTGTGGTCACTGGGACAGGCAGTGTAGACGTCAAAACCTAAGGACAGGTTGGGGAGTCAAGAGGGGTTCTCATTGGTCTCCTCAATGGTGAAGGAAAGGCCAGTACCTCTTGGTACTTCTTTCAGAGCCACCAAAACCGAGAGGGCAGCAGTCCGGTGAATGGTCCAATCATGTCATTCAGGGACAAATCCTAAGGTGAGCCAAGGGAAAGGCAGTGTTTGAGAGTCAGGGTTCCCATTCAGAGATCCTCCTGTCTTGGCAATTGGAGGTGGTATGAATACGGTTCCCAGGGCTCTGGAATACTCTGGCATGACTCCATCACTGTGATGAGACATATAACCAAGAGAGGCTTGCAGGGCACTGTGAGTGGGGTGAGGTGGCATTTAGCTAGATGGTATGGCTGTCAATGGGACAGAGTTTTTGTTAGCTCCTGTAAATGGAAGATGCATCAATGAATGGACCACGTGGCAAGACATTCTTGAGGTATGTGAGTGAGGAGTACAATCCCATGTCTTACACCACTTTGGAAAGACTGAGTTCACTCCTAATGTGATCTTGTTTTCACTTTGACTGGAAGACAAGATGGAAGCACCCATCCCCACCTTACACCTGCAACAGTTTAAACAGAACCCGGCTTTCCAGTTCCTCAAACATTTTGAGGATTTCTCTCTGACACTATATTCACATGGGGCATTTCAAGATTCACATTATTATTTTCTCTTCCCTTCAGTTAGCTCTTAGGAAGCCAGTTTTGGTAACTCATACTTTCCTTCAAAAATAAACCTGTCATCCAGATTTTCTATCTGCTTTACTCACGGACTTTAGCAAACAATTTCCAATTTGGAAACCCAAAGATGGCATAAATTGTCCCTCCTCTGCCACAGCTGTACCCATGTAACTTACTGAATGTTGCTACCTGCTGAGCCGGCTCTCAGGAGCATCCCAGTCCTGGAGGAGACACTCTTGGGACATCCGTGCCTTCATCCTGGCCTTGGACTAGCCCTGGGACCTGCCACGACTCTTTCTCCCTGGAGGGACAGCACAGCCTTCCCCACCTTCCTCTGACAAGTCTCTTTCCTGGGTGGCTGTGCTGCATCAGCAAGGGCCTGGGCTGTCGGGAACCAGGATTTATCCTCAGCTTCTGGCTGTCCTGAAATGGCCTCCCTGGCAGAGTCCAGCCTGCCGAGTGTCTGAGTGACACTTGCAGTGATCAGGAAGGAGGGGATAACTCAGAAGTGACAAGCGATTCATCCGGTCCTTGCTTAAATGATGTTTCCTAGGGATGAGGCTCAAAAGGCCGGGTAGTCACCTTTTAGCTGTTGATTATCAGGCGGGTTCTCCGGTTGAGCCAGACCAGTGTCTGTTGGACACCCACATGGGGAGCATTTCTGGATTATACTTGGTGAGGCTGTGTCCATGCACATCCACAGAACATTAGTTTGGTGGCATTGCCCGCAGGACCCCCAACTCACACCTTTCTTAGGCCTCATCTTTCCAACTTCCCAACAGGAAAGGTTCACACCTCGATGACAGAACCACAGCACCAGACTGTGGAAAAGACCCCAGTCATCCCAGGGGCTCCATGCTTCATGGGCTCGGGCCCAGCTACTACTTTAGGAAAAGACAGTCAAATAACACCAGAGTGTGTAAACTGGTGATAGTCCAAGACCATGGACCTGAGAACCACACAGGCCCAGAGGTCACCCTGGGCAGCAAGGAACACTGTGGGGTCATTCCTGGTCAGGACGATGGTCTGTTATCCTGGAAAACCAGAGCTCACCTGGGATCTATCTGGTCAAGCCTGGAAGGAGTGGCCAGGATGGACCTGACAGAAAGGCTAAGGGCATCTAGGGAATTTCTGCCCTAAGAAAGAATAGCATGGGGAAGTGCAGGGATGCTGAAAATCCTAGTTCACAGGGAGCACCAGGTTCGTGGAGGGAGACCCGGCTGTCTCTCTAAAAGCTGCCTCCCCAATCTTTCCCCTTGGAGAGAAAATAAGCAGGAAATGGGAATCAGAGTCACTGACCCGAATCGCAGGAGGACCAAGCCCAGGTCAAAGGTGAACAGGGAGACCCTAGAGGGGCCCAGAGAGGGAGAGTCCTGCCTGCCCTTAGTCCATTTGCCCAGGACCTTCCTCTAGCCTCTCCCTCTCCACGTGCACATTTTGAAGTTTTACAGTATTTTCCCCACTTACTGTTGAGGCAATTCCAGGGACTGAATCAAAAAACAAGTTCCTCATTTGGGCAAGAGGAACTGGGAAAATGATCCCTCGTCCTCCAAGTGCAGAAAGGCAGCCACAGTCCTGAGCAGGAATTGTGCTAGGCACAGGCCAGGGCCAGCTTTTTTGTTGTTGAGGAAGGTTAGCTCTGACCTAACATCTGCAGCCAATCCTCCTATTTTTGCTGAGGAAGACTGACCCTAAGATGACATCCGTGCCCATCTTCCTCTACTTTATATGCAGGACACCTGCCATAGCGTGGCTGGACAAGGGGTGCATAGGTCCGCGCTCGGGATCTGTACCAGTGAACCTCAGTCCGCGGAAGGGGACCATGGGAACTGAACCTCTGCACCACTGGGCTGGCCCCAAGCAAGTGCTACTTTTAAAGACATCCCTGTTTCCGTGGCTGTTGTTCTGCCAGAGAAAGTCCCTCCAACGTCTCAGCCCCGGGAGATCGGAGGGGCCGCTTCTGTTCCAGGACCAGGTGAACCACACTGCAATGATCCTGTGCTCTGAGTGAGGGGGACACGGGACTGTCCTTCAGCAGCCAGGGATGGCACTGGCACTTCTCCCTTCACCACATACCCTGAGCTGAGGACTCTGCGAGGTTTCTGAATTCAAGGAGGAATGTGAGATTCTGGATCTCATTTCCATGAGCACAGAGAGCGAAAGAACCACATGTCCACTCCCAGGCTGAGAACAAAACAGAAATTTAATAAAATACCCAAACTTAGCATTTATCATTGACAACAAAAACATGGCCCCTCCAAAGAGGGAAACAGGCGCTTGGGAAAATGTGTGAGGGAGATGGTGGGGGGAGTCGTCCACTCCCTTGTGGCCTTCAGCGGACCCCAGGGAATGGATCACAATGTTATCATTCATGTCAGCATCTGAGACGTGGCCCCGTGCACTTGAGTGTCCCCGCTGTGTCCCTTCTGTGGTTCAGCTGGTCTCAGGAGCATTATCTGCCATCACCGCTGGGCTCTTTTTTGGGGACCTGGTGTCTGGATAGAGAGAGGAATTTCCTAGGGGGCCTCCCCCAGTATCACAGCATACTCTCCCCCCTCCCTGCACCCACTGTACCCTGTGCTCCAGCCCCAGTGATGAGTTCTTAGTCAGCCAATAGCACCCCATTTGTCCCTGACACAGGGGCTGATATTTAGTATCACCCACTTCACAGAGGAACAAACCAGTCCCAGAAATGAGAGGGGAATCGCCCATGACAGGACTGCTCAGCAGTGGAGCTGGGGCCCCAGCACCACAGCTGTCCGACTCCCCTGGCCCAGACTTGGCCTGAATCTGTACTGAGCCCCTGGATTCAGCCACTGCCAGTCCAGACACTCACTCAGCCCTGGGCAGGAAGATGCACGGCTCTTCTTGTCTTTGAAGAAGAGTCGAATTTTTCTGGTCCACTGGTATCGGGACTCCAGCTGACAGGACAGGCTGTAGCTACAGGACAGAGTGGAGCTGTGGGCTCCCAGGAGCCACACCTCAGCTGTGCCTCCCAGAGCCTCCCAGCACCTGGAGTCCCAGGGCCCCAGGGCTCCCCATGCAGCCAGATCTGAGACTGACCATAGAGCCACGCCCATGGACACTGGAGCTGGTCTGCAGAGGCAGTCTGCCCTGCCCTCACCCAACTCCTGCCCCGCCTCACCTCGCTTCCTTGCTCAGGGGCTCCATGGCCTGGAACCAGGCCCCAAAGTGCTCGTCGGGCTGCACGGTGTACAGATTTGCAGCCTTCTGGACCAGCTTGATGTCCTTGATGAATTTGAATTCCTGGGACAGAGGAAGGACAGGATGGAGACATGGCCTGGGTGGGGGACCCTGAAGGGCTCTTGGCGGGGATGAGGAGGGGAGCAAGGAGCCAGTCTGGGGAGTTTGCCAACTTGGGAACCTTCCTTCCCTGCAATTCCAGTCAGGACGTGCCTGTTCTCACAGTTGGCCCGAAATAGATCCTCTACCACTAAGGGGTCCTTGATGCCAGCCCTTCCCCCACCCACCAACGCCATAGGATCCCCAGCTCTGTATATCAAACTCTGCAAATAAATGTCCGAACCCAGGGATTGGGCTAGAGGGTTTCTTATGAAAGGGGGGCTCTCTGATTCCCACACACCCACTCTCACCACAGTGAGGCGTCAGCTCCTTACCTCATTCCGACAGCTGAGCACATTCCCCTGGAAGGCAGACAACCAAAGTCCATCAGAAACAGCCCCCTTAGCCCAGAACTAGCCCTGATCCCACCTCTTCCAGTGTTGCACTGGTGCCAGTGGGCAGGCCCTTCCAGAGACCGGACTTGGACCTGGGCCAGGCTCTGGGCTCCAGACCTGGGGTCAGAGGAGCTGAGACCTTGTAATCCAACCCTCTTTAATGACACATGGGGAGACTGAGGCCTCAGGCAGGAAGGGACAGCTCAGCCACTGATGTGCTTCCTGACTTGGAGGGGCCCAAATTCTCTTCCCTCATGGGCAGGGCCAGAGGGAGAGGCTGAGTCCAGCTCAGACACCCCCTCCTGTGGCCACACAGCCAGGCAGATCTGAGCCTCAGCAACCCAGGGAGCCTGGATGGCAGCTAAGGCAGAGCCTCCCATCACTCGTTGCTGAGATGGGCCTGATGTCCTGGCTTCCACAGGAGTCTGGGAGGCTCTGCAGAGAGGACCTTTCCAAGTGTGAGAGCTCAGGGCTCAGGCAGGACTCTCTCCTAGCAAGACCTCAGGAGACTGATCCCAAGGCCCACCTCCAGATTCACTCACCTCCACATAATAATCCATCTCATCATGCAGTAGCTCCAGGTAACTGAATATCATCTCAAGGGAGGGGATGACACCCTGCTCCATCAATGGTGATGAGTTTCAGCACTCAGGTGCCCCCCATGAACCCTCCCCTGAAATCCTTCACCCCAGCCCCCTGCACACCACAGGCTCCCACATACAGTAGCCTAGGACCCTCAGAAGCCCCCACCACACACAATTCCCTCCTCCCCTCCTCTCCAGGAACAACAAAATCCCCCAGTCACGTCCAAGGGCTGGCTGTTGGCCAATCCCAGGGGGTGTGGCCCGTGCCCCTCCCCACCCCAACATCATCCTGCTCCCAGCCCTTCCAGGCCTCCTCCTGCTCACTGCCAAGGCGGGCACTTCAGGCTCGGTGGCCACAGCAGATGTGCTGGAGGAGGAAGGATCCTCTCTTGAGGGAGGCCTCTAGCTGGGAGGGGGAGCCCCTCTCCTCTGACTCCTGGACACCTCCCCCCCAGGCACCCTCACCTGCTGCCGCTGCCTCTCCCAGGCTCAATGGTGGGCCCTCTGTGCACTGGCCAACACGGAGGTTGCCTCCTGTCAGTGCCGAGGACAGGGTCAGAGAGGCCATGCTCCACTTCACATGTTCCCCAAGGCCCCTGACCTCAGACCCTGGCCATCTGGCTCCAGTCCCCTGCTGCCTATGGTGTTCCAGCCTCCAGGGTGTTCTGATTCTAGACGAGTCCCAGCTCCAGGACTCACTCTTGTGTGACCTTGGGCCTGCCCAGGCCTCCCTGAGCCTCTTTCCTCATCAGGAAAGAGTGAGGAGAACTCCACCTGCGTCCAGCGCTCTCCTGAGGACTCCGCGTCATCTGACTGTCATCACTGCTCTCCCCTCACCTCTTGAGGAGGGGCCAGCGCATATATCCTCCCATTCCTGTCCTCCCTTGGATGGTATCACCCCGCCTTGAGGCCTGCACCGGGTCATCTCCCTCCATTTCCCAGAGGAGGAGACCGAGGCCCACACAGGGGCAGAGACTTGCTCCAGAACCCACTGAGGAGATGCCACTCTCCCTCCCAGCCAGATTCCCTGTCCCTGCTGCCTTCACCCATCGCCCAGCTCCACCACTGATCATGGTCCCGACCTCTGCACTCCCAGAGTGTGTCCCAACAACAGTCAAACTAGGACTTGGAGGGAGAGGGCAGAGGGTGTTGGGGGTGGCCGTGTGGCATCTCCATCCTGGCTCCCCGACAGGGGTCTCTGAACCCCAGGATGGCCTTACCATAGCTTCACTTCCTAGGATGCCCTCAGGATGTTCCCGGCCACCTCCCTCACCCCTCCTCCAAGATCTCCAGCCCCAGGTTACCTTCAGGAACAGTCTCCTGCTCACGTGCTGCTCTCCCCTCCACCACTTCTTAAAGGTGTAGGAACTCTCCCTGGGGGAGTGGGGAAAGAAAGATAGAAAGACTATGGGATGGTTGAAGGGCAAATCCCGTTTGTTTGAGATCCCAGAAGATCCAAACAGCCTGGGGCCTGGATAAGGCATTTCACTGGGTTGCTGTCAGCCCCGAGGTCCCCATGGGACTGGGGAGCGGCCTCTCCTGTTGTCACCTGGGGCCTCCATTCCCATCTCTACCACACAGATCTGTTTTGAACACTCTTGGTTTCAGTTGGATGGAGATTTCTGTTGCTGCAAAGGAAACACTTGAGAATCTCCAACTGGGCTCAAGTCAGGATCTGATATTGAAGGAAATGAATGCCTGGGCAGAACCGCTGGCCTAAGGGCCCTTAGAGGCTCAGACCCAGGAACCGGATCAGTCCGTGTCCCAGGCATTCACTGTTTCCCAGGTGGTCTCAGCTGACTGTGGGGGCCATGGCGACCCAATGCCGTCTGCCTGGTCCACCTTACTCTCGTGGTGCTTGGATGGAGAGCAGCCTACCCACCTGGAAACTTGTCCCCAGGTCTCTTTGAGATGCTTAATGGCAGGGCTCTGCAGAGCAGAAAGGATCCTGTGGAAGGAGGAGAAGTTTCTGAGGCCTCGGCACCCCTGGGGAAGGGAAGAGATTGAGCTATGAGGGGGGGCTGGAGCTCACCAGCTCTGGATTCTGTGCCCTAATGGACTTCGCCTGTCCTGGATGGGACATATGCCCAGGAAACCCAGGGAGGGCACACCTGGGACACGACAAGTAACAGTGCCAGGCAAAAGGATTTTTAGCTGAACACAAGTAAGGAGCACAGGAAGGAAGTGAGCTTGCCACTACCAGGACCTCAAGTCAAGGTCAGTGTGGCCTTGGCACGAGGGTCTAGGGACAGTGCAGGGACTTAGACCACAGACTTCAATCTCGAGAGCTGAGAAACAAGAGGCAATTCCTGTGACTCCAGACAGGGCCTCCATGACTTACCTCAGCCACCTGAATCCACAGCTCCACCACCCTGGCCCTCTCCTGGGCTGTCATGCCTGGGGCCCCGAAGCATGTAGCGATGGCACTGTTGGCCAAGGTGTTCATGTGTGCCACAGTATCACGGATGGTGGGTGCCAGGTACTCGTGGTCCCTGTTGTCTCGCTGGGACCAGATGGGGCCCAGGCACTGAGCAGGCACTAATTTCTTGAACAGCTCCTGAGGAAGATTCAGAGTGTTGCCAGCACTGCCTCACCCCAGCTCGGCATCCACGGTCCCCCACAGTCCCCACAGGCTGGTTGAGGACAGAGCTGGAGCTCAGGAAGCAGAGGATGTGATCTCTGAGGTGTGTGGGACTCCCTGGGTTTTCTCTGTGTGCACTGAAGGTGCCAGCACAAGATGGCCCAGGACACAGTGCTGTGCAGAAGGAAGGGCATTTGCTCCCAGCCCTGTCTCACTCCCTCCAAGCTCCGGAACACAGCCCTCATTGGCCCACCCCAAGGGCCATCTTCCACCCATCCCAGTCCCACTCGGGTGCCACTCCCCATTCCCATGCACATTCCCCTGAGGCAGGGAGAAGTGCAGGCTTTGTGCGATTGTCTCCACTGGAGTCAGTACACATCATGTGCCTGATACGTGCTGAGGATGTGAAGGCCCTCTGGGCACATGCGTGATCGACCCAAGGACCTGGCAGAACTTCAGTGAGCTCCCTCCCACACCAAAGGGCCAGACGCTGCCCAACTTCCTCTCTGTTCCACCTCATTCATCGGCACAGCCATCCCATGCAGCAGGTGCCCTTAGTGTCTGGTTCTGCTGTGCACATGGGGACAGCCAGAGCTTGGGGTTTAGAAAGTGCCCAAGTCACAGTGTTGGTAACAGGGGAGCAGGAATATGGACCCAGATCATCACATTCTGGATCAGGGAATGGCAGGTGTGGGGCAGCTAATGGCACAGGAAGGCAGGACCCCTCTGCCCTGCAAGACCCAATGCTCGCTGCCTCCATCCTTGCCAGCTGGTCTGCCACCAGCTTGGGAGGGAAGTCCAAGAGGTTCGGCTTATCCTCCCTCAGCTGGTTTTCGGTGGTCACAGCCCGGGGTCCAGTGGGCTCTAGTTCAGGAGCTGGCACTGGGGCTGCAGTTAATGGTGGCCCTTCCTCCAGCTCTGTAGGGTCCGATGCAGTTGATACTGGCTCCAGCTCTGCCACAGGTGGTGGGGCTGGAGCTGGAGCTGGCTCTAGCCCAGGGGCTGGTTCTGGCTCTGGCTCTGGCTCTGGCTCTGGATGTGGCAGGAGCTTTGGAGCTGGCTCTGGAGCAGGATAAGGAGAAAGTGTCACCCACACACCTGACAGTTCCTGTGCCTTTCCAAAGACAGGAAAGACTCCACTGCCTTTAAGGAAATTCCAGCCCATGAACCCCAGAACAGTCTTCCCACACTGCAGTCCCCTCACCTTTCTGCTCGGGCTCAATGGTCTTGAGAGGCTCCATGTGGCCCGGCAGAAGGTACGCATGGCCCTCCAAGTCGGAGCCACCAAAGCTGATGTGACCAGTGGCCAGCCTCAACATCCAACAGGAAAACTGCAGGGGCTCCCTGAAATCCTGCCCTTGGTCCAGCCAGCTTCCCAGCATCAGATAGATAGGACTGTGGGGAGACAGATGGGCCATAGAGTCAGAGGCCCAGCCTTTCCTTAAACACTGCCCTCCCAAGGCACCCTGGTTAGCATCTGCACCCCTGTGCCAGACACTCCCCCTTCAGATGAGGGCCCAATCCCAGCCCTGAGCCCTGGCTGGCCGTCCTAGCAGTGGCAGGACTGCTCATCCGGCAGGTTGAACACAAAGTCTGTGGGAGTCTCCTTTTCCCACTGACACTCTTCTCCCAAAGGGTCTGGACACAGCCAACCCCACCCAGCCCTCCATGCACGTGGGCAGCTGGACTGAGGATGGATGGAAACTTTGAGCCGCTTGCTCAGGCACCTCCTGCTCTGGACCTGGTGGTGGTGGTCACAAGGTGTGGATGTGGAGAAAGGGAGCCAGAAGGAGCTGGGAGTCTGGTAGGAATGTGCCTGTAGGGGACAAGCCAGTCCATCCTCCATTGTCGTTCTGAGGGTCCCTGGGACCATCCACAGCTCTCTATGACTCCTGTCCTACTGGTGTGGAAGCCACCAGAACTCAGCCCTCCCATAGGAATCTAAAGATGAGTGAAATGCAGGGTTCCGCCAGGCCTGCCACAGCCACAGCCTCCATCCTCTCCCCCTACTCTGTTATCCAGAGACAGGAGGCCCTCCTTCTGGACCCAAAGATCACTCACTTTTTCTTTTCGGATTACTTGTGGAATTGATGCTATGATAGTTTACAGCATTGTGACGGTTCAGCTGTACACTATTATTTGTCAGTCATCTTATAGGTGCACACTTCACCCTTTGTGGCCACCTCACTTCCCCTTTCCCCTGGTCACCACTAATCTGTTCTTTTTGTCCGTGTGTTTGTTTATCTTCCACAACTGAGAGGAACCACACAGTTTGTCTTTCTTTCTCTGTCTTACTTTGCTTAACGTAATACCCTTAAGGTCCATCCATGTTGTTGTCAATGGGACGATTTTGTCTTTTTTTACAGCTGAGTAGTATTCCATCAGGCCACTCACTTTTTTAGTTGGTCCTGTGGAGAATCATCCCACTCACAAGGGGAGAAGGTGCTTCCAGAACTCCCATAGGGTATGAGGGCTTCACACGGGATGGATGGTGGACAGGACCTGTGACCAAGGCCAAATGTGACTGTCAGACACTCAGACTAGACTTGAAGCCCAGGGAGGGAGTCTCCTTCATTCAGTGAGTTACACTCAGTGTCTCCAGATGTCATGCCAGAGTAGGTGCTTCATATACCATGTTGAATGAACTCCATCCAGAACGATCCTAGATATACGAGTTGTCCTAGGAACACCCCATTCCCCCAGAGATCTGTAATGGCTACACCAAGGACAAGCACCAAGGCCAGCAGGATGGAATCTCAAACTCCTTGACAGGGTGCTCTGCATGTACTTTTCCAAACTCAGAAAGGCCACAAGCCAGTGATGGTATAGGAAGTCTACTTTTCGTGGGATACAGAGAAATAATCACCAACAACCCCAGCATGGCCCACAGCCCTCTCAGAGTCAGGTGGCAGGGAAGCACCTGGATGGCTGATCCCATTCATCCCTGGGAGAACCCTAGTAAGTTCATCCTCCCCCACCACACTGTCCACAGGAGCCAACCGAAGCTCAGAGTGATGTGATGACATTCCCAAGACACTCAGCTGACAGTGGGCAGAGTCACCACTGTGCTGAGGAGGAGATGGGCAGTCACCTGGGAAACAGCTGGTCAAGGACCCGGTGGGATGAGCTGAAGACCAAGTAGTGGCTCATGGATGTGGTATCACTGCAGATGACTCTACCTGGGAAGGCTGGTACCAGGGACTCTGACAGGTGGTCCATCGTGCCTGCCTGGAGGGCATGCATCCTGCAGGCCGCGGTTAGACAGAAATTGGACTCACCTTCAAGCTGGGTGGGATGAGGAGGGACATAGACTCAGTTGCACCACCGTGAACCAACAGGAGGCTCGAGGTCTGCAGCTCACCCGGGAACTCCTAGCCCCTCCCAGACGTGTGCCACAGGAGAGACAGGGGCTCCCACACTCGGCAAGGTTCTGCACTTTCAAAGTACAATCTGACTTTGGGAGGGAGAAGGATTCAACATTCACCTCCCTCGAGGCCATTTGCTCGCTGAGGGAGAACAGACCTCCCTCTGTGAAGAGCACCAGCCCAGTGAATCCTCAACAGACACCCCCTCTCTAGAGAGGAGAATAGAGGTTTAGGCATGCCAAATGGCTTCTCTAGGTCCTGCGGATCAGAAGTGAGTACTGCCCCAAGTGAGGGCTGAGGAACATTCCCTCTAAACTGCCTCAGGCTTCATTGGACCCTGACCTGGAGGGAAATGCTATGTGGCCATCTCACCCCTCCCCGGTCTGGAAACTGTGCATAGGGCAGGGACATGCTCTGAGAATCCCTTTGACTTCAAAAACACGCTGATGGTTATTTCTCTTACATCAAAGGGAGTTTGGAGACCCTCTTGATCGAGGTTCCATGTTCCAAAAAAGGCAAAATTCAAAGATACTCAGGGCCTAGTGGGAAGTGACAACGACATCAACGTTTTCTCTAATCTTCCTCGGAAAATGCAAAGAGTGCCCTCCTACCCTCCTATGCATCTGGTGGGGAGGAGCAGAAGTCCAGATTCCTTTGGGAATGGGACTGTGGGACACTCAGGTGGGACAGCCCTTTTAGGGTCCCAGGAGAACGGCAGTTTGAGTTTGGATTCTGGGCCTGCCCTGGTCAACCCAGGGTCCTGGGTGGGAAGACCCCTCTGTGTCCACTCTCACCTCAGAGCAGCCCTGGTTATTGATGGTGGCGCAGTGCAGCTGCCCCCTGTCCAGGGAGACGGAGTACCCAAAGCCATCCACCAGCTCTTCGACCACGTCCTGTGTGTAGCTCTGCAAAGACAGTGCCCGAGAGCCGGGCCAGAAGGTCTGAGGGACCTGCCTTGGCTTGGCCACAGGAGGAAACCCCAGCATAGATCAGGTACCCAGCAGCGTCTGCATAGACCTCCAGCCAGGGAGGGAATGAGATGACACCCGGATGGCTCGGGACTAACTTATGGGTAGAGGAGCTTGGTCCCCAGCACCCACTCTCCCATCCTGCTAGCCACCACCCAGTCTGGGAACATGACACACTGCCAGGCTTCCAACAATGAGCAAACGGCTCCTGCCCAGGGTGGGTCCCTGCTGAGCCCTGATGTCCCTCACTCCACTCCCCGCCCGACACACAACGAGGCTCAAAGGGGTGTGGGGGTGACATCAAGTTGTGGGCTAACCTCTTTGGCCTGCCCTGTGTTACCTGAGGGCTCCTCCTGACAAATGGCCAGAGGCAGTGCAGGTGAGGGCCAAGCCAGTGTCTATGGTCACTGAAAAGGCTCTTTTTCTTGGCTTTCCTGAAGCCAGAGCCCCGACAAGTCGGGAGACAACAGGAGAACATCCTCTTCTCTTCAGTGTCTCCACTCAAGTGAGCTCAGTAGGAGGCTATGTCTAGAATGTGGTCGCCTGGAGACCAGTTTGCTAAGTTCTGTTGGGGCCTGTCTCCAAGGAAGTGAGGTCACTTCCTCAGGGTTCCCTTACCTTGGCCCCTTCCTTCAATCACACCCACCCAAAACCCCTCTGGGTTCTTGGCTGCTCACACTCCTTCCCCATGTCCTCTCCATAACTGCACACTAATACCCATCACAGTGCCCCACACAGGACCTTGAGATGGAACCAGGGTTCCAGCTTGAGGACATGCAGCTGAGTTCCGACCTCTTTTTTCTACAAGCTCTGTGTCCTGGAAACTCCATTGTGCCTCCCAGGGCCTCCTCAATCACCCAACCTGCATGATGGGGACGATGCCAGAAATTTCTCCCTCGGGACGTCCTCAGGTGTAGAAGAGACAATAGCAGCAACCCCTGTGGTCTGGTTTCCATGTGTCTGATGCACACATTTAGAGATGAATGAATGACAAGAAGGGGTGGGATGTAGTGTGGAGTACCCCTTAAAACAGGCTTGGGTTCCAGGTCTGTGACCTTGAGAAAGTCACTGCCCCTCTGGGCCTCATTTCCAGGTCTGCACCTTTAAGAGGTGGAAATTATGGGAAATTCAGATATTTCCATTCACTGGCATGAAATCTTCCATGGTCTCAGTTTGACTTAGAATCAGACCCAAGTCCCTTGTGTCAGCCTATGTGGAGGGCAGCCTCCACCATGGCTCCCTGTGCTCACTGTCTTCTGCTGTGTGCGTCCTTGTGGAACCACACAGTGGTCACGAACTGGCTTCTGAACAGAATGCAGCCAAGGTGATGGGATGGCACGAAACCCAGGGTTAAGAATAAAAAGCCTGGCCCTTCCTTCTTACTCATTTTCTCCAGCCCCCTCCCTTTTTCCCTCCTCCTGTTTCCATCTTTCTCTCTCTCTCTCTCTGCGTCTTACATCTCTAGAACTGGGGGAGCAAGTGCGCATGTTTTCAGTTGCCCTATGAAGAGGTTCCATAGGAGAGAACAGAGAGAATGATTGGCCAACACACACGCAGGATCTCAGATTTTCAGTCCAAACAAAACCCGGCAACACGCATGTGAGTGAACATGGGAGCAAACCCTCCCCGAGTGGAGCCCCAATAGAGTCACAGCCCCTGCTTCAGAGAGACCTTGAGGCAGAAGCACCCAGCCGAGCCATGCCCCATTTCTGGCACACAGAATTTGTGAGATGTTAAGGATTC